ATTGAACATCATTAAAGCATAGTGATTAATCACAAAACAATATGTAATTATATATTGTGTATATATATTTCTAATTACAAATAAATGAAATTTTGTCTTGAAGCATGGTGTAGCATGGTAACAGTCAATATAACGACAGTAAACTACATTGCTACATTTTGCCACAGTATGTGTAAAAAGCCAATGTCAGTGCAAAGGTTGGGATAGCTTTTCTCTCACCAGATCAGAAATTCTCGGGGCAGTCTTTGCAAGAGCACAACGGAAATCATCTTCCACAACAAGTCTACTTCTGTATTTAGACTTGATAACTAACAAGATGGAAAACCCTGTTTCACAAAGATATGTTGTTGGAAATGGAAAAAGAAGGCACAACGCAGTCTCAGACAGAACAGGATATGACTGCAAACACTTGCCCAAATTTTGTAACTGGCATTGTGGAGAAATCAGTTCTGGCTGCATCGCTGTTAATGAGTTCAATGAACTCCTCTTGTGCTGTCTCAGGAACATCTTCAATTTTGTGAATGGGCTTCTGGCAAGTGCAAATGAGGTGTCAGGTAGATTTGGAAAGTGCGATGAAATTTCATCTCTAAGCATGTGCAAGTGTTCTTTCACAGAAATTATCATTGTAATCCTTTTGTCTGGTTGAATGTTATGTTCCTCAAAAAAGCTGATAAGGTAGGCAACATGTAACTTTTATTTTCATCCAATTTCTTTTGCCAAAGCTGAAATTTCATTTGGAATGATCCGATCTTTTCAGACAAATTGAGGCATGTTGCATTTGGTCCTTGCAGTGATAAATTTAACTCATTTAAGATGGCAAAGATGTCAACCAAGTAAGTGATTTCCTGCAGTTCACTTTTATTGCTGAAAAGAGCTTTGAACTGCAGACTTGCTTTCTGATTCAAAAAGGCTTTGAATTCATCACGAGGCTCAAAAACAATGTTTTAAAACTTTTCCTCTCGACAACCATCTCACTTTAGGGTGAAATAGCAGAGCATTATTTGGCACATCCAACTCGTTGCACAGTTGCGAAAACAGTTGACTGTTTAAAGTGCTCACCTTTACAAAATTGACAGAACTTATGACGCTTTTCATTACTTTTTGTAACTCTTACGGCAGCATCTTCATTGCTAATATTTGCCAATGAATCATGCAGTGAGTTCCAATGAGTTTTGGTGACTCATTCAGTACAAAACGTTGAAATCCAGATCAACATCCTAGCACAACTGGCGCACCCTCTGTGCAACACCACAAATCTTTTCCCAAGAGATCTTCTGCTCTTTCAGAAACAAACCAACTGTGTCAAATACATCACGTGCAGTAGTTGTCGTTTCAAGAGGTTTGCAAAAAAGAAACTCATCTTTAAAGTTGCCATCATTAATATACCTAAAGTAAACCAGTAACTGTGAACAGTTTGCAACGTCTGTAGATTCATCAAGCTGGATGCTAAATATTGGAAGTGAAGCAGATTTGATTTCCTGGATTACCTGATCAACAATATCAGCATGTATGTCATCTATTCTTCTGTAGACAGTGTCGTTAGATAAGGAATTTGCATTCAATTTTGTAACAAATTCGTCTCTAATCATAACTGTACTGTTGGCTGCTGGCCACAGTAGATCCTCAGCAATGGTGTGAGGTTTCATAGCTCTGGTGATTCTGAGTGCTACCAAATATGAAGCTTCAATGGCTGCTACATTTGTTTGTGGTACTTGCCACCAGCGTCAGGTCTGGCTTTCTTGAGTCCATCAGCTTTGCTTCTAAAATAGTTGGTATCCTTGTTGGCAAAGCTTGATGCTTGCTATCAAAGTGGCGTTTTAGTTTGTTCGGCTTCATAGATTCGGCTGATAGAACTCCACACCAAATAACACATTGCAGTTTCTTAATTCCTGCTGTAGTTATGGAGGTAAAAACCATGCTGTAAAAAAATCACTATATTTTCTTAACGTTCTGCTTTACACGATCCCTTGTCATGGGATGGTTTGCTAATGAAAATATATAATAATAGCTTTAATAATACAAAAGATGATACATGGCATAGTTCAGTCAATACAGTTCACGAAAGTTTCCTATGATTTACCATTCTGTTGGTTTTTTTACATACCTGTTACTATCACAAGGGGGCAGTATTTACATCAACCACAGCTGAATATAAAAAGACTAATCAATATCCAGATTAAGTTCCCATGGTACAGATGCTTTCAACACAGTAGCTGCTCTCTACACATGTGGTCTGAAAAAGTACATTATGGCACCAACCCTGTCACATGTACTTGTATTTGTACGGGGTGTATGTGATGGGGTTGGCGCAGTGATGTCATCGTGCTGGGTAGTCATATGTGGGCATATCAGTATGTGGATGGACCCACCCGGAGATAGATAGAGGAGGGAGTGGCTCAGTTCCTAAGACCATCAGAAATATGTGTTTTCTGATGGTCTTAGGTGACCCTTGTGAAAGGGTCATTTGACCCCCAAAGGGGTCGCAACCCACAGGTTGAGAACCACTGTCCTATACCATCAGGGAATCATTACTGTTTCTGAAGGGTTTATCTATCTTGGGTTCCATGCAAGAAACTATCTTAATTGTACAAATGAACATATGCAGGTCTAACAAGATTAATGAAGTAAAACTAAGACCAAAATAGTAAGAGGAGGAAATATTAAAGAACTAGAGAATAGTTATATGCTTCATCAGTACTCTACTGCACCCTGGGTATATCATCCCTTCTGCGTGGTCCTTCTGTGAGGGACTGTCCAACTATCTTACAGGTGGGTTTTGGGTCTCCACTTTGTCTACACTTCTTCACGTCAATTTGATTGCTTGTTTCTGAGCTTCTGATGCCTATTCCCATCAATACCTCATGATCAGTCACACAGGCTGGTGTGCTTCTTCCATGTGAGTTTTTTTGCTTCCCTGATAGATGGACATTTGTTTCACTTCAAGCCTTTAGGGCCCCAGACAATATGTATTTTAATAGCTGGGCATCATCAGCTTTCTTCACTGCATTTGCTTATGCATCCATTTCGTCTTCAGTGATCGTGTTGGGAAGGTGAGTTTCATACATTGCCACATTATTAGAACAAACCATTCTTGTAGTGAGGTAAGATTTAAGTAGAGGTCCGAGGTCCATCTGCTTCCTACTGTATTTACATATATATGTTTATATACGTATACATATAGAAAGACAAATATGCCTATATTTATATATTTACATATATATATATTTACATCAATATATATATAATTTTTACTTTCTTGTCCTTTCCTCTTTTTCTTTTTTCTTTCCACTTGCTCCACTCTCATGTTTACCCATCATTCACCTCTCAGTGATTCCTCTCGGATACATTTCAATTGATCAAATACAACCAGGACCTCTACACCCTCCTCATCGTCAATTTTGGATCCCTTGCAATTCCCCTGTCCCTGTCCTTATTGGCTCCTTACTCCCCTCCCTCTCGTCCTCCCCTCCCATGCCCCCAGAACAGTCTGTCCTGTTGCTGTCTCCTTGGGATTGTTTATCCTGCCTATCTTATATAGATAGACACAAAAAGAAAGACCATATAAAGAGTTCCAAGTCTAACTGTAGTCCTGACCCAGTGTAGATTAGTATCCCTCTGTTAAATTTCAAGCAGGCCCTGTTGTAATCCATCAATCCAATCCCCTTTTCTTTCCAGGATCCATATCCCAGGACCAGTTTACCTAACAGCACTTACACCCTTTTAGTCCTCAGTGTTCATATCCAAGGGGTGTGCCTTCTACAAGACCCCATTGCTCTTCCTGCAGTCAGGGATGGAGCAGTCTAGTGCCCCCCCTTACACCTTTAGACTTTCATTGTGCCCCCACCCCCTTGTGAATATCCTCTAACCAGTTCAGGTGAGGTGCCAAGTGCTGTCCCTGGAGTCAGAAGTCTACAATCAGGATTCCTCAGAGACTTCGTGGTTTTGCTCCCTTTGCTGGTCTATTGCACTCTCCTCTTGGTGTGCCCCAATGTGGTTGGGTCAGACAGGCCCTACTCCCGGAACTGTATTTTCGGTCCAGTCCTCTATAGCACTGTCATCGAGGGAGAGGATGCCCTATTTTGAGCTGAGGCCCACCCTGCAGTCCTCTCTGGGAATGAGCTGCTCTGAGCAGGAATACTGCCTTCAAGGATTGGTCCACCGGAATGAGGTCTACTCTTTCTCTCCCTTTCCTGGGGAGACATAAACATTACCCTCCCCTTGGGTGGATTAGTGCTCTGGTCCCCCATTGCCATCTTTTTTCTTCGCCCACCCTTCTGTGGACCATAAAGGAATATGAGGGGTGGGGAGAGGTGCTATCTGCATTCTTTCTTTATTTTTTTTCTTCTGTCTCCTTGTTTTGAACGATGTATGCATCATTACTTTTGGTCTGGCTCTTGACAGTAGCTGGTCCTTAGCCCAGGAACTGTGTGATATGCACATTTTTCTCCTATGCCCATTCTATTGTTTGAACTTACCTCAGTGGATTCATGTGGTACTTGCCCTTTTGTCCTTGGCTAACTTCACTCAGCATAAGATCCTCCAACTTCTTCCACTAGATGAGGTGCGTCATTGTTTCATCGCTGGTTTTTAGGATGCATAGTACTCCACTGTATGTGTATGCCAGAGTTTTTTAATCCATTTTTCTATTGATGGAAATTCCAGCTGTTTCCAATTCTTTGGGATTATGAATTGCGGCAGTGATGAACATTGGGGCACAGATGCCCAGACGCAATTCTTTCTGATATACTTTCTGATAAACTATACTTTGCTATAGCACCCATATCTTCAGTGATCTCTTCGTGAAACCATAACAGCGTTGAGGATGATGCAGGACTAGGTGTTGCTCAGTTCTCTTGTACATAGAGTCACTATGAGTCAGAATTGCCTCAATGGCACTGCTGCCATGGCATCAGGAACCAGGTCCGAGCAGACAGAGCGCAAACTACTCTTTGATTCACAAGTTTTTTAACATATTTTTGTTTTGTTTTTCTGTTTTGAAGGGCTGTTGAGTGGCCAGACTTCCCCAACAAATGCCAAATTGGAGAAACTGGACTCTCAGCAGGTGTTGCAGCTCTGCCTCCGTTATCAGGATCACCTGCATCAGTGTGCGGAGGCCGTTGCTTTTGATCAGAATGCTTTGGTGAAACGAATCAAAGAGGTAACGTGCTGGGGAAACCACCTTGCTGCCTCGTTGTTGTATTCCCTGTGCCTCCTATAGTTATTTCTGTTGGGAGGGGGCATAGCTGGTGACCCCAGCTTTACGTTACGGGAAGTAGTCGTTTCTAACTAAGGCTTGGCATTTACCTTTACTGTTTGGGAAGACTGACTTTTCTAGCAGTAGACTGCAATTGTAAGAAGAGTGGTTCCCAGAGTTTAAATCCTGCTTCACCATTAACTTGTTTGGGCAAGTTACTTCATTTCTCTTTGTCTCAGTTTTCTCCCATGAGAAGTGGGGCTAAGAGTAGTGACCTATGCCAAGAATTGCGTGAAAATGACTTACTGAATGTCAGCTGTTAGTGTCATTGCTAGGGGCCGACTCATGTCAACCCGGCACGTGTACAGCAGAATTAAACATTGCCCAGTCCTGCACTGTCCTCACGATTGTTCCTAGGTTTGGTGTGTGTAAAGTCCTGCCATACTGATTTTCTCTAGCTAAGTTCATGTCTTAAAAATGGACTGTAGCTGTTCCTGTACATAATTTATAGTTTGTTCTCCAGTTAGGTTATCTGTTCTTTGTGAGCGGACGCCTTGACTTGTCCCTCGATTATGGGAGGAAACACTCAGTAACTCTTACACAAGGATTTTGTGAAGCAGAAGAATTCATGTGAAAGTAGACTATGTGTGGAGCATGGCACAGTTCTGTGTAATTATCAAGAGCAGTAAAGGAGGTCCTTCGGGAGCAGCATTGACTGGCTGACTGCACACAGCCCAGCTCCGAGGCACCATCGATACCGTTTACTACTCGTATGTGAATGGCACTCCCTGAGAGGCCTGTTGTGATCACTGCAGGTGAGAAAAGGAAACAGAGACCAGGAAACAAACAAGTGAGAAACTGAGAAATGTTGCAAATTAATGATCAGAAAGGTGAGGCTTTCTACTCCTCTAAAGAGAGTCTCCGAAGCCTAACGGGACAGTTCTGCTGTGTCCTGTAGGGTCTCTGTGAGTCAGAATTGCCCTGGTGGCAGTGGGTTTGGAATTTTGAGTACTTTAGATGAGAATAGACTTGATTTAGTTATATTGACAGACTTAAATCTTCTGACACCCCAGCGTTTTAGGAAGAGCTTTCACAAAACCTCCCTCATTGCCATCCAGTCGATGCCAACTCATAGTGACCCGTAGGACAGGGTAGAAGTGCCCTGGGAGTTTCCAAGACTGTCGCTCTCTCTTTTTAAGACTGTAACTCTTAACAGGAGTAGAAAGCCCCAGCTTTCTCCTAAGGAGCGGCTGGTGATTTCGAACTATTCACCGCACAGTTAGCGCAATGGATAACCGCTACTCCACCAGGGCTCCTTTTTCGCAAAATATTGTATACGTAAACTCTTCTCAGGTGGAAACTATTATTTGGAAAACGATTAAATATGACTTTTCAATTGCTTAGCATTGATATGCCTTTATAATATTATACACTTATTACAGTAAGTATACATTGATTTTTGGTGTTAATTTTATACATTAATTAAAGCTCTATGGAACTTTAATTTCCAACAACTGTGTATCAGAAACACTCAGGGCTTTATTTGCTTGTGTACGTACAGCATTTCTTTTTTTCCCAGGATGTCCAGAATGTGGTCTGTGAGTCATTATTTCAATTCTTTCACTAAGATTTTTTAGGAAGCACTGTTTCCCCACAACGAGCTCTATAAAACTGTTGTTGTTGCGTGCTGGTGAGTTGGTTCTGACCACAGTCCCTGGGTGACAGAGTATCTTTATGACAGTGTCTCTTTCTCCCCAGAGCCTTTGGATGGACTCAAATCTCTAACCTTTCCTTAATCAGCCAAATGCTTAACTGTTTGCACCACCAGGGCTCCTTTCTACAAAACTAGCCTTATATGAAGTAGATCAAACTTTTTGCAATATTCCTGTACTTGAGAGTCTCGGTGCATATTAAAATTTCTGATGAGTTTTCAGGAAAAGAAAAAAACCATAAAAACAGCACTTTTCAAGTGTCTTCAGAGCCTTTATCGTAGTAACATCTGTTAACATTGCATGGAAGTAGGGTGTTACAGAACCTTCTTTGGGAAATGCTTAAGGAGTTCTGGTGGTACTGTTGGGTAACATTGGCATGCTCACTCGTATGTGAATGGCAAGGACTGTGGTTCAAACCCACCCGCTATTCTATGGGAGAAAGATGAGGCTCTCTGCTCCTGTAAAGAGTTTACAGCTGCAAAAACCCTATATTGGGGCTCTATGAGTTGGAATGGATTCAGTGGTAATGAGTTTGGATTTGGGTGTTTGAGTTAGGAAATGCTGCTGTAGAAATAAGACTGCAGTATTTTTTATGTTTGTGCTAGAGTGCAACTTCGACATTAATTCCAAGAGACAGTGTTAGAAATTGACCTTTTGATGCTTCTTGCTTTTTAGAAAGTCCTCTAATGCCTATCTGCAGTTTGCAGTTTAGGAAAATGGCACCTGAGCAACTAAGTGACTAGCTCAATGTCAAGGAGTTGGTGGTACCAGACACACTACCCAGAGAGCACATTTGCAAACTCCAGAGACATGGTTCTTGACCCTGGATGCATGTTAGCATCACCTGGGATGGGTTTTCCTACAGTGTCTCACACACACATTGAAGCAGGGAGACAAATGAAGGGGAGCTTCATGGACTCATCACTGAGCTGCTACACCATCAAGCTTGTTTCATCTACCCTCTCTCCCTCCCTGCTGCACCACCCCCGCACGGAATTGAAGGGCTAGTAAATCCCAGACCTAGCATTTTATTGTAAATATTTTAGTATGTGATTTTGAAAGTACACTTCCGATTTTAAAAAGCTTTCATTTGAATTAATCTTAAGTTTAGGGGGAAATTGAAAACATAATTCAAAGAGTTCTGTATACCCCTCATCCAGCTTCCCTTAAAGTTAACATAGTATATAACTTTAGTGTAATGATCAAAACCAGGAAATTAATATTGATATAATACTCTGACTTCATTTGAATTTCACCAGTATTTTTACTCAACCCATCCACAATGCATATAGAACAATGGTACTTCATTAAGTAGAGTTGAAGTGCTTGTAAGAAACTAGCAATATCTTAGATCTCATTGCAAACCAACGAGGCCAAAATCTTTCAAGGGAGGTCGAAGGGAGACTTTACACTGATATTTATGATAACATCCCCAGTGATTCTAGTATCTAGCTATAATTGAGAACCAATGTTGTGGAACATTCACTTAAAAGAATTAAAATGACTGTAAAATTCTTTTTCAGAAACGGGATTCACTTTGAGTAGTTACCCAGGATTGTTGTAAAACCAGGAACATGCTTCAGTACTGAGCAACACTGTGGTAACTGTTTTTAGAGCAGAGGAAGTGAACTGTTTTAGGAATTTAATAGGTGACTTAATGTCTCTGTTGCAAACTCCTGAAAATTACACATCCATCTATGTTCACATAAAATCTAGTGGTTGGAATTAGTCACTTCCAAATGAATAAATCAGAGGATGTAGTTTCGATCAAATACAAACTCTCTGTTATTATTCCAGATGTTTCCTGGAAATTCGGCTAGAAGTGTGAGGAAGTAACCGAATGCTATATGTGTTGAAAGTTGGGGAACCTAACCCTGGAGAGTATACATGAAAGGAAGTTTAGAGCACAGATAAAACAGAGTTTCATGAAGTTACAGTGCCTGTCACTTAGGTTTTGACCAGAGTGGGGCATGGCTCTGATCATTTCTGACTCAGATGTAAGGAAATCAAGGAGTTAGGGAAACTCTTCCGTGGGTAAACGTGGATGATGCTCTTGAAGGAAACGTGTTTGTTTTACAAATTGGTGTATGTGAGAAAGGAGGAGAATGGAAGGTAGCTTCTTTCCTAATTAGGGTGTCTTATGATGTACGTTGACCATGTGTTTCCTTAGTGCAGGGGTCCTCAAACTTTCTAAACAGGGGGCCAGTTCACTGTCCATCAGACCTGTTGGAGGGCTGGACTACAGTTTTAAAAAATAACTATGAGCAAATTCCTATGCACGCTGCACATATCTTATTTTGAAGTGAAAAAGCATGGGGCAAAAACACCTGGTGGGCTGGATAAATGTCCTTGGCGGGCCGCATATGGCCCGCGGGGCTGTAGTTTGAGGACGCCTGCCTTAGTTTATACAGTGGCCTCTCACTCTTCCACCCAGTATTGCTCAATAGTGATTGAAAACCTGCTTGGTGGGAGGTCCTTTGGGTTTTACAAGAAAAATA